TACAGCCACTGTTGGTGGGAATGTACAGCCACTGTTGGTGGGAATGTAACAGCCACTATGGGAATGTACAGCCACTATGGAGAACATTATGGAGGTTCCTTAAAAAACTAAAAATAAAACTACCATATGACCCAGCAATACACTACTGGGCATATACCCTGAGAAAACCATAATTGAAAAAGAGTCATGTGGGGTTTTCCCTGGTGGAGCAGTGGTTGAGAGTCTGCCTGCTAATGCAGGGGACACAGGTTCAAGCCCTGGTCTGGGAGGATCCCACATGCCGCGGAGCAACTAGGCCCGTGAGCCACGGCTACTGAGCCTGCACGTCTGGAGCCTGTGCTCTGCAAAAAGAGAGGCCGCAATAGTGAGAGGCCCGTGCACCGCGATGAAGAGTGGGCCCCGCTTGCCACAACTAGAGAAAGCCCTAGCACAGAAACAAAGACCCAACACAACAGAAATAAATTAATTAATTAATAAACTCCTACCCCCAACATCTTCTTTAAAAAAAAAAAAAACAAAACGGAGTCATGTACCACAATGTTCATTGCAGCTCTATTTACAATAGCCAGGACATGGAAGCAACCTAAGTGTCCACTGACAGATGAATGGATAAAGAGGATGTGGCACATATATACAATGGAATATTACTCAGCCATAAAAAGAAATCAAACTGAGTTATTTGTAGTGAGGTGGATGGACCTAGAGTCTGTCCTACAGAGTGAAGTAAGTCAGAAAGAGAAAAACAAATACCGTATGCTAACACATATATACGGAATCTTAAAAAAAAAAAAAAAGGGTCATGAAGAACCTGGGGGCAAGATGGGAATAAAGATGCAGACCTACTAGAGAATGGACTTTAGGATACGGGGAGGGGGAAGGGTAAGCTGGGACAAAGTGAGAGAGTAGCATGGACATATATACACTACTAAATGTAAAACAGATAGCCAGTGGGAAGCAGCCGCATAGTACAGGGACATCAGCTCGGTGCTTTGTGACCACCTAGAGGGGTGGGATAGGGAGGGTGGGAGGGAGGGAGACGCAAGAGGGAAGAGATATGGGGACATATGTATATGTATAACTGATTCACTTTGTTATAAAGCAGAAACTAACACACCACTGTAAAGCAATTATACTCCAATAAAGATGTTAAAAAGAAAAAAAAAATTATTATAAATGCTAGAGGGTTTAAACCCTTTGCCCTCTGCTAAGAAACTATGATTTAAAAGGGACTCAAAACTAACAAGCAGGACAATTGTAAAATAATAAAGGGCTACCTTGTAGGCAAAGACCAGACTAATCCAGGGAGACTAGAGGAGCTGTTAAAAAAGCAAATCCTCAGGCTCCACCCCAAAGCTACCAAATCAGACACTTTGAGAGTGGGACCCACAAGTCCTCCAAGTGATTGTGATGCCTGCCAAGTTGGAGAACCAAAGTCAGAGATCAAAGTTTATGGCAGCAAAAATTGTGTAAGATTTCATAATCTGTGAAGCTTCCCTATTTTCCTTTCTTTCTTTCTTCCTTTCTCTCTTTCTTAATTCCTGTTGCTCCCTCTGACTGGTATCAAAATGAAATGAACCTGGACTTCATGGGTTCAAAGGAACCTGCCTTGGGGTTAAACTCTTGAGGAATAGAGTAACTTTAAAAGGGAGTCAGGGGCTTCCCTGGTGGGGCAGTGGTTGAGAGTCCGCCTGCCGATGCAGGGAACACGGGTTCGTGCCCCAGTCCGGGAAGATCCCACATTCCGCGGAGCGGCTGGGCCTGTGAGCCGTGGCCGCTGAGCCTGCGCAGTCAGAAGCAGGCTAAGTCCCTAAAGCCAGCTGCAAGGAAGAAGGGAGAATTGGGAGATCTGGCCAGACTTGAAATAGAGCCCTAAGCTGAAGAGACATCTGTGAGGCTCCCTGGCAAGGCCCAATGAACCCACATTCAGTATTAGGTCTCAGGTCCCTCTCTTGACTGTATGTCAAGATACACTGGGGACACTCCACATGGCACATAACCTCCAGGAGTCTTTCTTTATATTCGAGTGGAGACAAAATAATAACAGATCACTTGGAAAGGACATTATGAAAAACAACTGTTGAAAACTAAAGTAATTTGAGAACAGTGACCAAAAAAATATAGTGTGCTAACTCAATGTGGGATTGGCTTGCTTTTGGAACAAAACATCTTTTACTCCCTCTGCAGAAACAAATTATGTGCTGCTCTGCCTTCATTTTGGTAACTAAATTCCCAGTACCGCATTATTACTGGTCAAAAGATGTAAAAAGCTTTTAGATGTATTTCTTTAGAAGTATGACGCTTCCAGTGACTCTCGGCTTACAAAATTATCATACAACATACGGACAAGGCCACAAATGATTCTGAAGCTCCCAAACTATATTTCCTAAATATAGTAACACTTTGAAGCACTTATAACAGCTAGGACCAGATATTACTTTCCCAGTGGTTCAAAGTGACTTTAGTATCACAGATTTGTGTGATCTTTCAAGTCCAAAAGTCATGGCTCAGATTGAGTTTCTCTCTCTTTTTTTGTTGTTGTTGGCCACCAGGGGCCACTTTGCAATGTCAGAAAAGTTTCATCCTATCAATGATCCGTTAAGTTCTCAAGGATTAAAACAAACATAAAACACCAAAAAAACCCTAACTTAAGAATTACTGATCGCCTCCCGTCCTAACATAGACTCCAGCTCTGCCTTCACAGAAACCC